GTAGGAGTAGGAGTAGGAGTAGGAAAAGTAGTAGTAGTAGTAGTAGTAGTAGCAGCAGGAGTAGTAGTAGTAGTAGTAGTAGTAGTAGCAGTAGCAGCAGCAGCAGCAGCAGTAGTAGTTTTTTTGTCCACCACTTGGCACGCCATCGACAAACAGTAGCAGCACGAGTAGTAGCAACAGAAGTAGTAGTCGTGGTGGTGTCGTGGTGTAGTAGCCGTAGTCGTCGGCGTCCTACCAAAAGCTAGAAAGTAGTTGTGGCAGTTTTGTGTTTCCCTATCCCTGGTACTGAAACTCGAGACTCGGCCAAAACTCCGCAAGACTGGCCGAGCACGTTTCCCAGAATTCCTCCCAAGGCTTGCAAAAGCCTGGACATCTCGGCCCGTCTTGGTGCAATGCACTGGCACTTCCACGAGAGGCTGCGAAGACCTTTCATGGTGCGACGTCAGATTTGAGGCGAGGCTCTCAGCTGAAGAATGTTAAAACTTGTCTAACTTCTTCCCACTTGCTGGATTGAAAATCGTTTTGAGGACAGAGGGTATCGGGTGCATCAGAGTCCACATGCTGGAAATGGGCCGTCCGCAGCTGAGATGACTTGCTCCTGTCTGCATTCCCACGCTTCGCTCTTGGCCTCAAGTAGTATTGCCAAGACAAGGCTTAACTATGGCCATACAGGTAGGTCAGTGACGAGATCTTTGGCTGGGAATTCAGGCTGGGACAAAGAGTAACTTCTGTCTTGACATGGGTGGCTTGTGACATTGCTCCATGTGGTCGATTCGTAAGTCGCCGCAAAACTTTTGCTTGCCACTCCCTGGCTCCAAACCGCAATTAGACTCGGCGCCAGACGTTGGCGCAAAGCTGCGGGCAAGTCGTGCATCCATAGCTTCTGAAGTTGCCCGACTGCTTGTCAAAGACGTCTGGGGAACTGCACACTTCGCTTCATGTACAATGCAGCCGGGCATCGAAATTCACACGACAGGAGGACTGAAAAAACGTTGACGGGCTTAGTGCTGCTGATGCGATTGCCTTCAGTCTCGTGTGCATACATACGTACATATGTATCCATATGTATATGTATGTAAATAGATAAGTAGATAGATAGATAGATAGATAGATAGATATACATATGCACATAGATATACCATATATATATATATATATATCGATACATATGTGTATATATGTATATTTTTAAATATGTACTTATGCTGGGTTGCGGTGGACCGGCTTCAGAGAACTTCAGAGCAAGGCTTCGTACGCTGCGTCCTCACTGCTTCGGGTGCTCACATGTCTGCGAGCGCGCCCGACATACCCTAAAGCCCTCTAACCAAATCCGGCAAATGAACCATGAAACGGGATTCCGGGATGAGTCGTCCCAGTCAGGCTTCTCCTGCTGCACGGCAAAACAACAGGGCATAGTATCTGAAGCGTCGTCGGCTCTAACCTTGCACCTTTTTTGTTGACATGGCCTTGGCGCCTTGCGCAAGGTCCAGGGTAAACGAGAGGCGCCAGGCTTGCCCTCATTTATTGAATCCGTGCTGACATGCCCAAGCTTTACATACCTTGAGTTGTGACTGTAGTCTAGGGTCCAACGTTGCCGAATGCAGGACATCTCGTAAGTTTTGCTGACATGGACAATGTACGACTGTGCTAGGCATTACTAAATTTGCACCAGAAGCATCACTAGTCACTAGTCTGACAGTATGTCTCATTTCATGCTCCCTGGCTAAAGGCTGCAGCGGCACCTTCTACCGGCGTCCCATGTTGTTTACAGCTTGCTTTCAGCCTATTGCTGAAGCTCAGCTTTGCTGATTTCCGCTCTGAGCCCGCCCATGTCGTAGCGCATCAGGGTCATCGGCGCATACCACAGCGAGCAACGCTGCTCCTCAGCCAAATGTGCCTGCCTCAAAGCTGGGCTGTTGCAGATCACGCATTCGAAAGCTGCTGCCCAGCTCCGGGTGCCGCCACATTTTCGCACGTATGTCATCTGTTTACACGGCTTCCCGCGCACAAGCATACCCCCGCAGCGATGCTCCAGAGAGTGGCCGAAGGACACAAGCTGTTTGTAGCGACGAAGATCCAGCAGCGAGGCGTGGCCAGGCAAGGAGTACGGATGTTCACAGGTCGTGTCCACAAGTGGTACGCGGCCGACAAAGCGGCCTGGTGGACTCGACTTGACGATCGCCTTGGTGGTGGGCCGAAACCGGACCTTGCGCTGAGACATTCCCGGGAAGGCCGGGATCACAAGCATCAAGTCTGGGTTATCTCGGAGTGCCTGAATGCCTTCACTGATCCAGGAATACTCCTTCTGCCTAGAGATGATCATGTCTGACTCCAGGATAGCCACGTAGTCTGCATTACACTGGTCGATAGCAAAATAATGGTCCAATTCTTTCACCGGCAAATCACTGTCAAAGGATCCATGCCCCATTGAAACTTTCTCAACCTCAAGCCGAAAGGAGTTGCCCCACGCAGCAGTCAAGTTTACCAATTGCATATACGCAGCGGAATGGTTCACGGCTAGCCATTCCTCGAGATACTTCTCACTCACCAATGAGTCTGCCACGCTGGCAATGGAGGCATCTACCTTTTCGTCCTTCGCATCCACCACCAAATAGCGGTGGCTGAAGATGTTCTCGTGCTGAGAACTCAAGTGCTTGACTCTGAGGAGCAACTCGGTGGCTGCACTCGTCTTTGCGATGACCGCCAAGCAAACCGTTGGAGACTCTTCTCCACGGGATGGCAGCTCTTCTCGACCTGGTTCAGCTTCGTGTGGGCCAGCAGTGGTCAAGCTTTCTTGTTGATGCTGCTCTTCCTGCAAAAAGTCCGCACGAACTTGTGCAGTTGTAAGCAGTAGGGACAAGGAGGGATCGTCCTTCACCCCGATCTTTTCGCCGGACGTGTTTTGTAACATGACAGATGAACCTGCCCATCCATCCAGCTTTCCCTCCAGCACGGTGACTTGAGAGCGTTCTTGACCATTACCCTTCGACAGGATATCATGGATTTTGATGCAAGCATAGGCTACGCTTAGCAACATGGCTGCTGTCCACAGGCGCACCCCTCGACAAGGGCACAGCGACATCTGTGGCAGCTCGGCATGTGCGCATATCTGCGCATCAACATGGCAAGCTCGACATAGACCTGAGCAACCCCAAAGCTTCAAGTCGATGACTTCACTGCTTTACTTCTTTCTGATGCCATACTATGCGCTTCCGTCGGAAGTTCACCTTCGCATTTCAAGCCGACATTGTTGGAGTGCACTTCTGGTGGCTCAGTCCCGGCAAGTTCGCAGTGTCCGGAGTCATCTCGACGGAGGGGAGGGGAGAGGGTAGGGGAGGAGAGGGGCCAGATCCTGTTCCCAATTTCTCTGCTTGGCCAATACGGCCCTGCTTTGCAAGTGGCGCACTTTGTACACGCTTGATGCTCAGGGTCTTTCAGCGGCCTCCTGTTGTTAACTTTAAACAACCCCAACGCCCCCACACTGAAGTCCGCGCAGTCGAGGTATGAGGACAAACCTTGCTTGCGCCGTTTGGCTACAACAGTGCTCGCTATGCACCATGCCGCGGTAAACATCGAACTTGTCGGCTGGTGCACACAAAAGCACAAAAACATCGACAACCTAGGCCGAAGAGGTAAAGATGATGAATGGCTATGCTGTCCCAGTGGGTACACGTCCTGACATTGAAAGCAAGTTCTTGTCTGTGACAAATGCGATGAGAGTGAAAGATGCATGCCTATCCTGCTCGATCCTCTGGGCCTTCTCTTGCGACCAACCCGAAATCCCAGTATGCCACCGCCCGTGCCATTGCGGTTAGCTCACCAGTGCTGAACCAACTTTTCGTGCAGGCTACATGCCGATCCCACTGACACACTGATTCAGGAAAGCTAGATTAGGTTGTGCGACAGCTAGGCGATTGGGCGTTGCTATGGAAAAAACCCCAAATCGAGCTTCAAGCACTATATGCGTAGCCTGCACTCAGTTCCACCTACTATTGGGTGTCAGGGCAGGCTCCGTCTACTGCAGCGTTCTTTGCTGCTGTGGTGATACCAGACTTCTGCCAACAAACACTATGACACTATGAGTCATGAACAGGGAGTGCACGAACATACTCGTTTCCAGATGACCACAACACAAGCATCGGATACCTGCATTTCGCCGAGAAATATGATCCACCATTGCCTTGGTTTATCAAGTGCATCAGCTCCCACCACAGCGAGGCCTCCTATTTACGAAGGCCTCTGACCCCAAAGGCCCGTGAAAGCCGAACGGTCAGAGCAACGTCCGCGCGACCTGTCCAAGGACTTCGACGACACCCCCACTTATCAACGGCTGCAGTATCTAAAAAGTGCTCTTCTGCAGTCCCGCGACATGCTGCATACTTAGTATACTTCCGCATGGAAGTGTTTCTGCCCAACGGCTGTAGCTGCATCAACGGTCGATGTGCCAGTCAACTCATGGCAGAGACAACTTGCTTACCGACTCGCTGCTATCTGAATCTGGCATTCTCATTCGAGCGAGGCAAGGTTGTTTGAGGTGCAACGTACGTACACACACACACATGCATGCATGCATACATACATACATACTTAGGTATGTACATATCTTACCAAAATATGGATAAATAGATATGTATGTATGTATGTATGTATGTGTGTGTATATATATATACACACCTATCTAGATAGGGCAGTGGCATCAGAAACAGCACCTCTTCCCTTCGACAAACTAAGCAAGACTAGGTCGAACCTGTGTCCAAAGATAAGTTTCAACTGCAGATCGCTGGTGGACAGTGATAGCAAGCCCGCATGCAACCGCAGTAGTTCTCCCTGGCTGCTCCCTACTTACATTCTGCTCTGGATCGTGGCTATACCGTAGCACACAGAAACCAGTATGCTAACCACTGTTAGTATTATGAAGCCCCATGGTGACCTTGGTGTATTCATGTACATACGTGCCGTTAATTACATTCTACACACAAACATATATATATATATACATACATACACATTCATATGTATATATATATACATATCTATCAGTAGTCGTATCAAAACTAACATTATATATATACACACATATACACATGTATTTATGCATGTGTATGTGTGTATATATATATATAAACGTATATGCACAATATGTTTGTAATATATGTGTCTGACAGCATCCCGAGGCCTCGTCATCTGCCGTCCTTCCTCGGCACAATTCCGCACTGCTTCACGGCGCGAGGTTGCGGGAGATGCGATGCGAGTAAGCCTCCTGTCTCACTTCTTTGATGCGAGCTGTCCAGCTGATGTTTCGACTCTCATGCTCGCACAAGGCAGGCAAGCTGCGGCAGGGCCGGTGCAAAGCAGCTTGAGAAGCCGCCCAACCCAAAGCTCACCACAAACAGTCCAAGAACACACGATCTTCATCCTCAGGGCCGTACCATCACTGTACAGGTCTGGCGGTGGGCTTGCACGGTCCCTTGGCACTGTCGGAGGAATTCATTCCAAATTAAGCGAAGTAGTTCTGTTTGACTGTGCATGTAGACTTGATCAAAACACTTGGGCCAGCGAGTATGAGGTACAGTAGACTGGTCTTCGAACTTCGGATTCGGAGGAAGCGAGGAAAGTAGAATTTGCCTGCGCCTATGTGCTCTGAGCTCAGCGCTTAGGTCACTTGACTTCGGCTCAAGCTCGGAAGCTAAACTTAGTCTTACCCCCGCATGCTATCTCTCGTCACCTGGGCTCTCCCACCCATAGCTGCGGCTGGTTCTAGAGCTGGCACGAGAATCCTTGTTTGCAGGCGGAAGTTTGCGAGTGGCACCGTCGTGGGCGAGCCATGGGGTCGCGCATTGAGCCGTGACCTCCCTGTGCAAACCTGCTTTCATCCACGCTTTAGCATGTTGATTGCTGTGCTGCACTACGATCGAAGAGGCGATGCTATTGTGATGGCCATCTCAACCCGAAAGTATGTCAACAGGCCCAGCAATTGTTGAATCTCAGCGGCCAAGGCGTCCAACAGCCAGGCAGGGCTGTCGGCACGCGACGTCAAGGCGCGAACCCAACTCTGACCTCAAAACTTCAACTGCGTCGGATTGATTTGTCGCTGCTGGGAAACACAAGATTTCTCTTCTGTATTGACATGCGCCATGCTGGGCTTCCCGATTTTCCAGAGCAGAGCTTCACTCAGTTTATTGGCATGTCCCGGAGCAGGAACATTTCTAGAAAATCGTATGCACATGCACACGTACATGATACATATCTATCTATCTATCTATCTATCTATATACATACCTGTCTGTATACCTAGGCAGGTCGGTTGGTAGATAGATGCATGGATGGATGGATGGATGGATGGATGGATGGATAGGTATGTACGCAGGTAGGCAGGCAGGTAAGGTGGTATTCTGGCAACCTCAGAGGCGAAAACATCAGCGGGGAATGAATATGGATGTGACTATGATTCCTTGTCCCCGCATTCCTCATAGATGCCAGGATCTGATTGTTATTGTGTTATTGTCATCATGATTATGACTACTATTATTGTTATTAGGAGTGCTGATGGTTGTGGAATCAACGTTGTCCCTATTACCCGTTGTTCTTGTTCCAATTGTAATTGCAGCATAGCCAGTAGCGGTATTATTGTGCTTAGCAGTTGTTCTTGTCGTACAGATGTGGCTAAGTTTTACAGCAAATCGAGGCTGACGATTCTGTACGAAAACAATCCTTGCTAAATCTATAGTACCTCGCTCATATAGATAAAGGGGCTCTGACATTGTATACTTTCAAGATGATGCTATTGTATTTGGGAGTATCAACTGAAGGAGCTTTTTGTATTTCCGCTCATCAGCTCTTTTCTGTCTTGTGAATACGGAGAGACAGAACAGCTTCTTTCTGTTATATGAAGATGGGAAGAGGCTTAGGCGGGAAGGCAGGAGCCATTTCACGTCTTGTTGAAAGATGTAGCAGCTCTCTTGGTTAAATTGCTGCTAGTAAGGCGCAAATGAGTCTGGATATTCGTTTGCATGAACCAGGTAGTCTTTGAACCAAGTGGTCTTTGGCTTCTTGCTAATGCTAAGAGAGGAACAACGAACGCTTTCCAGATACATTCCGTCCTAACTCTCGCGAGGCATAAAAGGCATACCGGCGTACTTCCATATTCTATTGAAGAAAAGAAAGGTTGATCTTTACTTGGTCTTTGCTTGTGTTCTTGCTGCTAGCGCACGAAAATCTGACTTGTTATTCTGGTTGTGACAAGAGTTGTTTCATTCCACATGATATAATCAAGCGAGCAGCTGTTCCGTTTGTGTTACAAAGCATAAGAGGCTCTTTGCGTCTGATCGAAGTTATTCGCAGTATGGCGGAGGGAGACTAGTTCTTTTCCGAACCGACACTATTCAAAACTATGATGTTGGCAGATTGTAAGAGCTCGTTGCGTTCTCGCCATTCTCGCCAATGATAAGGGACTCAGGAGCCTTCTTGTGCTTCTTCGTGATGAAATGTTGGTTTCTGATGAATGACACCACAAGCCACTACGCAGAAACAACCGAGATTGCTAGTGTCATTGTTAGTTGAGCAAGGCCCAAGTGCTTCTTCCAATGATATGTGTATACACACACATACACACATACACATATACTCACCTACATACATTACATTACATTACATTACGTTGCGTTACGTTGCATTACATTGCATTACATTGCATTACATACATACATACATACATACATACATACATACATTTTTAGCACTCGCACTCGAAGCATCAGGCGAGGTAATGGGAGAACAGGACAGCCATACATACATACATACATACATACATACATACATACATACATTTTCTAGCACTCGCACTCGTCTAAGCAGGCATACATACATACATACATACATACATGCATACATATATACATACACACACACACATACACACATACACACATGCATACATGCATACATACATACCTATGTACATACATACGTACATACATACATACAGAAATACATACATACAGCTATACATACACTTCATCATTATATCATTACCATAAT